CTAAAAACACACATGCAGAGGGGCCATCCAGAAAATCAAGAGCCGAAGATGTTTTCATTTCATTGAGTTAAAGGACCACGGAGGCCATGATAATCCTTATTTTGTTATTTTTAGTTTTATAAATCCTAAGCACTTTTTGTCAATGTGTCCACTCCAGCAATAGTAATATTTGTGTCCAGTTACAGTAATATTTGTTTTCATGGCAATACCTCCAAAAGTCATTTACCGGTAAATAAATACACCTATGTATGAATTCAGTTGCTTTCAGTTATTTATCAATTTGAAGACACTACCCAGATCATACTCAGCCAGTCAGCCACTGGTAATTGCTGTTTTTTTTTTAACAGTGTTCAGTGAAAGTATTGCAATGCATCGCAATAATTCAAGTATCATGATGCATCGTGATAGAATCGCATCGTGGCATGTGAATCGTGATTCGAATCGAATCGTGACTTCTTTGGCAATACCCACCCCTAGTGTACCCCGCCTCTCGCCCGCAGACAGCTGGAGATAGGACTCCTCGCAAACCCAGAAGGGATCAAGCGTGACAGAAAATGGATGGATGAGTTTAATTAATGAAAATGCATGCCACAGCAGCGCTGGTTTTGAACAGAGACTGATGGCTCTGAACTATCCATTTGCTGGGACTTCAGAGTGTAAACTTGGGGATCATTAACTGCAGCAGCCAGCAGGTCTAACAGACTCCCTGAGATAAGAATGCCTTAATCGGACAGTAATTCTTCGGGACAATACCTCAGCTCAACATGAGCCTAAATCCTTCAGCGAGCACATTTGCAGGCCGGCCGGCTGCTGCTGGCCAACTGCACAGGAAGTCTTTGTTAAAGCTGTCAGCAACAGAGGCGATGAGGAGAGTAAATCCTCCTAAACTGCTCCTGAAGATTACTGTTTGTTGGTGTGAATCCCGACACAATGGTTAACCTGACACAAAACCTGAAACCTTAAATTGTGTTTAAACAGAAACAGATCAAACTGATTGGGTTACATTCAGTTTACTTACAGTGTGATAGTTCACAGCACAAAAAGATATCCAAATTATCTCTAATTAAAGGAAACTTATTTGATCAAATTAACTTCAATACATACAACTTCCACTGAAAACTGGAGAATGTAAAATAATTGAACCAACTTACTGACTTAAACAGGGTTTACATGGAGTCCGTCCATCTGAGCTTAAACAGGCAAATTCAAAATGACACATCGCAGTACACCGAACATTTATTAAACTCACTGAAGTTAATGAGGATTTTGAGAATTTGAGCATTGCAAAGCTCCCATTGCCTCAGTTTTAATTTTCAGACTAACTATATAGATCATCTTTTTGTTTAGATTCTGCTTTATGCACATTAATGAAATTCGATCAAATCATACAGGCAGACTGATTAAATTTTTCAATCTATCTGATTGCATTCAGAAATTGACTAAATAGTATGCTTTTTTTTATAGAATATGATGTCAATTTATTGCCAAGTGATATTATTTAGGAACTAGTCTTTCCATCCTCTTCACATTTTATACTTCACACCTTAGGTCACAAAGGCTTTCAGAAAATATAACACAAATAAACTAAACTGAAATATACCTTTATGAAAAGCTCAATAATTCATCAAAAATAATTCATCAAAATATGTTTTATCTGCTGATAAAAATCAATTACATGGACCTCTATAGGCCTAGAATGGAAAATTAGGTTATGATCCAAGAATTTCTGTCGGTTGTCAGAATATCCACAACATAAAATTTTTTAAATCTTATAATGAGAATGTTAATTAAAACTTCTAAAAGTTGTGATTAAAAGCTGTGAACTGGTAAAATAATCTAAATCTGATATAAAAATAGCAAGAAATATATGCAAAAAAATAAATTTTATATGAAAAAAAAACCTTTTTTCCCCTGTCAATCTGCTCAATCCAGAGCTCCTCAAGTGGAACATTTTGTTTCACCTAATTTAGTTTCATAAATAATCTTTAAGGAACTTTTGCCAATCCGAATATTTATTGAATAATCAAAAAAATAATCAACAGATTAATAGATTTGCAAAATAATCGTTAGCTGCAGCCCTACTTTTAATTGAAGAAATTAAACAGAAAACATGACATTTGGATTTTATTACTGAACGGGGTCTGTTGAGTTTATGAGTAAATAACACAAAGTTTATTTGAATATACTGGAGCTCCTCCTGCTCTCGGCCTGAGCCCATTAGTTTTGTTAATGAACATCATCAGGTTAACAGTTTATCCAATTCTGCATCAAATCCATATCTAATATCTTCTTTATGATTTCACATACCCAAAACATGCATGAAAGGTAAATCTCTGACCCCAACTCCATATGTCCTTCACCTTCCCTTCTAGATCCACTGTTTTGAAAACACTGATCAAAGACATGAGGCAGAACCAGACAAGCTTAAAGGGATTTTCAGCATCTTGAGCTGATCCTAAATTATAGAAGAGATGGTTTTAAGCCTCTCCTTGCCTCTAAGTTGTGGGAAAGATACATTTTTACATACATGATGGTAAAACTCTGCAGGGAAATGGCAAAAGTGTGTTTTATAAAAAAAAGTCCAAGACCAAAGTAATCAGATTAACGTATGTGGAATCTAGCAAAACCAATAAAATAGTGGAAGCATGATGTGGAACGGCAGGAGCTCTGGGTCTTGTGACAGGCTGCTTTCTGACTTTTACACGTTAGTCGAAGTAAATCAAGTTAGCCTCATGGTTCTGTTCCCACTTCTTAAATATGTTAATTCTTAAAGAAGGTCAAACACCATCAGTAGTTTGATTTTAGGCCAACATTTTTAAAGACAAAGAAAGTGTCTGTGGGGAACCTGCAGTTCAGGCCAAAGAGGAGACAGAACTGATCACTGATCTCTCTTTAATAAGAGGGTCACACTAACAAAAATATGGAAAAACAGCGACCTGAGGCACACAATGCTTAAATCAGCTACCAATGTTTCCAAATACTTTAAATTAGATCCCGAACAAATGACAGATATATCTTCTTACCTCTAGATCCCCTTAAAGTGTACTTATTTCAATTTGTTCTGTTCCAATGAGTTGTTTGAAAGCTGATGTGGTAATTTACTACAATGAATACTTCACTGAACTTAAACTCAGAAAATTCTGAATGAATGTAATCCTTCAAAAAAGCATATGAGAAAGAGCAACATCCTTATTCAGTTGTAGATAAAGCGAAAAGAAAAAAGCAAAAAAACTGCAGGGAGGTGGAGAACATCCAACTAGACAGAAGCAAATTCACTTTTCTTCTACTAATCCTGAATCGTGAAAAGTCTTAATTATCAGCAGCAGTAGAGGATAAATGCTGTAAAATCCCTCAGATATAATCACTTATTAACCATATAAATACTAAGTTGAGCCTCTAGAAGTAAAGATCTCATTGGGATATAAATTGATTAAAAAAGTTCATAGATGTGTTGGGACCAGAACAGGTCAGATAGTTGCAATAAATGGCAACAGCATAATTTTTTTCAAATTTTAATCTCTAGAAAATTGAAAAAAATAGAAATATCCTGTCCAGGGGTGCCGTGCAACTGGTCTTTGCATTTGTTACTTCAAGGCTGGACTACTGTACTTCTTTACAAACAGGAAGTGCACAATCTGTAGTTAGCTGATCAAAAATACTGCAGCCAGCTTTCTGATAAAAATAAAAAGAAGATCATATCCTCTCCTATCTTAACTCCACTTCGTTGGCTTCCTGTTAAAACCAGAATAGAATTTAAAATCCTTCTTCTCCGCTATAGGTCTAAATAATCAAGCCCCATCTTATATCAGGGATCTGATCATTTTTTATGCTCCTAACAGAGCACTTCACTCTCAATCTGCAGGTTTATAAGTGGTTCCTAGAATTTCTAAAAGTAGAATGGGAGGCAGATCTTTTAGTTATCAGGCTCCTCTCCTGTGGAACCAACTACCATTTTTAGTCCATGAGGCAAACAACCTGTCTACTTTTAAGGGTAGGCTTAAAACTTTCCTTTTTGATTAAGCCTATAGTTATAGTGGCTCAGGTTATCCTGAGCTATCTCTATGCTGAGCTCTAAGCCCCATTTACACTACCCTTTTGAAACCGTGCCAAGAATGTCTCAAGTACTGTAACAGAAATAACCATTAAGTGTAAATGGTACGCAGAACTGAACCGGACCACCGCAGACACAACCGAACCACAATAACATGGTACTAGTTCATCAGTAGGTAGCACGGTTCAGTTCTGCCTCGGTTATTAGATAACAAAGAGCGCATGTGCAGACCGCATCATCTAGTCAGCCGCTATATTAATGAAACTTCAGACATTCATAAAAACTTCCTTCATGTGCCGCCATGTTGATTTGCTTGCTTACCTCTAGAGAGCAGTAGTACCGTAGATCATCACTGGGAGGCGAGGAACCACACTACCATGGTGTGTAAACGGTCTTAAGGAATAGAACTCAGCACTGTTAACTGATCCAAGCTCGGCAGAGATCGGTTTTCAGAAGGTAGTGTGAAAGAGGTTACAGTTATGCTGCTATAGGCTTAGACTGCTGGAGGACATAGGGACCTCTTTTTATCACTCTGTTTCATTCTATCTTCTCCCTTTCTGCAGAATTTGTAAGGTTCTATTCATAACTTTCTGTTCTCTCTGCTTTTTCTCGTCATAGTAACCGAATCTGGTCTCTTCCTGTTTGGCTATGACATCATCCTGGAGGGAAATATCGACTGGGCTACTGTCATCAACATTTATAGATCACAGAGTTGGGCCTATGTTTAGTCCTGTTCCAGTCTTAGACACAGCTATGAACTCAGCTTTTACTTTGACTAAATATATGATCTCTCCATCTCTTTTGACGTGAAAACAGGTTTCAGGCTTGTCTACAGTACGTGTCTACTAAGCGTTAAGATTCTGTCATTTTCCATTTCATCAGAGGGGAACATGAGACAATATTCACAAAGATTTCAGAGAAAGTTATAAATATGTTTGTGTGTTTTTACCTGGCCGTAGTCTGTGGCAAAGACAACAACACCTCCAGAACAGGAAGACACGGTGCTGGGAAGGAACTGCTCATCCTCCCGTAACCACACTCGATCACCCTGAAAATAACAACAGCATTTTAAAACAAAGATAAACCAGTTTACAGTTTTGGTGTAAAATGACTGATCAATTCAGACCCAGAAATATTGAAAAAACAAAACAAAACAGTGATGAAGGTTTAAAATAACACATCACATGTAATGTCCCTGTGATTAGATTTCCCAAGGCTGGAGCCTTTGATAAGGCTGACCAGATTACATGTGGTTGCCATAGTATTACCAAGGCACCGACCTCCAACCAGATGGAGGGATTCTACATGAAGAATCGGACGGTGTTGGGTTTCTGTCTTCCCTGTACCTTCAACCCCTCATACAGCTGTATTGAAGCCCCTCAGCAGAGCAGGAGCTAAAACAACTTCATACCTGCTGATCCCTCTACTTCCCTGCTCCTAATGTAATAGACTTTTAGGCCAACATGTAATGTTTGTGTCACGTTAGTACTTAATTCCAAGAGTTTGAGAGGAAATTCTGAATGTAACTATTGGTTTGGAAGATTTTGGTTGTTTCTTTTCTCATTTTAAATTCAGTTGTGTAAATAAAACAGCTTCTGACAGCTAAATGATTGATGCGTGTGCCTGTTTGGTTGTATTTTAGTGTAAACAGTAATTACAGCAGCACTCAGACATTTTTCAGTTAAAGCAACCAGAGTAAAATACCCTTTAGATGGACCTTTTCCCTAATGGCATGGCCACATGTGCTTCGGTTCCTCATCGTGAGCGGTTAATACTAATGGGAAAAACACTCGCTGTGCTTTGCTTAGACCTGCCAGCCAGGCAGCCGGGGGGCACCTGGCTGGGAGGAAAGTTAGCAGATGAATGCTCATAGCGTAAAATACACAGAGAGAGAGTAAAGCTCAGGTTTGCAGAGTCAGCAGCAGATCAGAGGGGCTTTGTCAGTTGTTCGAACCCCCCCTCCGCTTCTGTTGAGGGAGGCGGCACGATTAAAAGGATCTCCTGGAGAGAAATAAATGTGATGCTCAAAGGAAACTCGTAAAAGGACTGAACGCTTGATCCCGACTTTTATACAAGAAGTTAAAAAGGCAAATGGCAGGTCATTTATTTGGGTTTGTTTAGCAACTGCAACAGGTACCTGGATTTTTTCTTTCCTTTGATACATGAAGCAAAAAATGAATTGCCTCAAGGGAAAAGGTGAATACATCCTCTAATCTTTTACTGCATATAAGAGGGAAAGTAGCAGCTAAAGCTGCTTTAAAATCATCACCAGCACCTCAAGGTGCAGAGGTATTGGCTCTATACTGATCAGCAGCCAGTACTCCAACAGGGAAAGACGTCAGCAATGACAGGCTGAGCGTATCAATTTAAAACCAAATTAGTTAGTCTGAAAACCAAAATCTTCAGTTGAAACATCACCTGTCAATTTACATTGAGATCAGAGCATAAATTGCTCTGAAAAATCAAAAACCTCAAGAGCCCCAGTTAGCATTCCTAACAGGGTAGTTAGGACAGGAATGATTGAAGAGTGGTGTGTTTATAGGGATTAAAGCAAATTCCCCTAATGGCAGCAAAGCATAGGTTTGCCAAGTTGCATATGAATAAACCCCAAGACTTCTGGAGCATAGTTTCTGGTATAGATGTTTGGCCATAATCATAAGAATCATGTTTAGAAGAAAGAAACAAGTATTTCAGAAAAGATAAGTTGAAGGTTGGTCCAGCGTTCAGAGCAGAAATTAGTCCTAGTCTACTCTGCTGCTATCTTTGGTATCAATATAATCACAGATGGCTGATAAAAATATGTTTAAGTTTACAGCATTACTGGAGCATCTTTTCTGTAGTTATCTGAACACAGTCATCACAAAGACTTCATATGGAATAATGTTTGTAAAGGACATCAAAAAAACCTCATTGTGTTGACAAAGGCTTATGGTTGTCTAATGACCCATAAAGGAACCAAACAAAGAAAGATGATCCATCGGGGAGGCCTGAACTGTTTACCAACTGAAACCATACGGACATTCCTGATGTGCACCGGCAAAGGAATCCGATGTGACCATAAGATCTAAAAGAAAAGGAGAGAGAAGGTCTTCCCTCCTCCCTTCATCAACACATGCTCATTCTGTTTGTGGACTCCATGAGCCGCCAACCCCCGTCTGATGCAGAGAGGTGGAACATCGTCTCACTCTGCTCCCTTGACTAATCTACTCAGCCCTCTCTTCTGTTCCTCTGCACAGTTTAATCCACCAGGAGACTTTCAAAACATGGCTCTGGGCCAAATGTCTGCGCTTCACCTCCCCTCCCTCATTCATCACCACTGATTGCCTGGACTCTTACATCAAAGTTCTTGTTTGGAGTTAATGATGAACTGAACATGAAGAGAAGCCAAGTTGCACCTCAACGTTAATGGATAAAAATCCCCATTAAGGAGATCAGATCTAAACAAAAAAGAAAAAAAAAAAAGCTGCAAAGTGAGCGACTCCATCAATGGCGGTTGATCCATAGATGATCAACATTTCTTCTGACAAGTTAATTCAGGATAAACATTGAAGCCAAACAGTGATCCAATTAACGTTGAATTTCCATATTTGTTTTGTGATGATATGCATGCTCAAACATGGATCAAATAGGTTTTAACAGATTAAAGGGGAATTTTCATGCAAAAGATGCTTTAGTTGAAATTCAGGCCTGTGCTTTAAAGTAACACTGTAAGACTTGTATCCACTAGGGGAGCAAGTCCTGTAACATCTAGGTAAAGGGAACATGGAAAGCATCTGGCAATAGAGAAATCTCCCTTTTTTTTTTAAATCTGAAAGCAGATATTACTTTGGACCAACAGACTGAGAAGCTATGCAGTTACTTGTGAAGACAAACCCACATTTACCGCTCTAGAATACATTCAACATCAGATAACCAAAATATATGCAATCGGACAAGTTTAATATCTGCTTTTATTGGGCGGACTTTAACAACAACAACTGTAAGCTTAGTTCGCTCTCTTGCTCAGCGGGAGCTCAGACTGCCTGAACGCAGCACGCTGGGTCACATGACTCAGTCAGTGATGGATCTGAGCCTTCCAAGTTATGTAGCCAATTATATTAGCTGTATATTGAGCGAAAAATCATTTAATATACATGCTGAATTAAGCAAATACTTTGGTCAAACAATACATAGTGTAGCTAAATACACTTGATAAGATTTCATGAATTATTGTAGACTAACGAGTGCTTAAGAAAACTGAAGTATTTAAATCATGTTTATTTTGATACATAAAGTCTGGATTTTATTTTGAATTAGATCAGATTTCAGCTTTCAGTGCTTTAAAGTGCATCATACTGATTTCAAAAAGCAGAGTTGTGTCGGTGTCTTAGATTAAAAATTAGTGGGCAAATTGTTGCCTACGTCTAAATATTGCTAAATATTGTAGTTTTTTTGTTATTCTGTTTTCCAGATTATTTTCACTTTTTGTGTAAATATGAGCTGCAGACAGAAGAATCATGTGTTTTTTTTTTTTTTTTTTTTTTACAAATGAAGCTAAGTTTAACTGTTAACGTGATTGTGACTGTAGTAATGGTGTTTATTTTACCAGTTACTGAAAGCAGATTTAATAACAATTTTATTATCACAAAAAATGTATTTTCTGTCACTTGGACATAGAGAACAACTGGTCTACATTTTGCCCTTTTAGCTGCAGTTCTGACTGCAGTTTAGCACAGAAAAAAGCAACTTAATGGTGTATAAAACCATTTAGTAATGATGCTGTTGACAGAAAACCAATATGAAATGCTGGCCAACAGACACCAGAACTGTAAAAATACTTTAAATAAGCCAACAGTAGACATTAGGGAGGAAAATGGAGCACTTCATGATGGATTCTGACAAATAGTCAATAAAACTCCCATTGCCACTCCCTTTTGCTCTTGCAGAGTAACAGCTGCAGCCTCAAGTCTTTTGCTCTTTTTAGACCTTACACTGTCATCCAGCTGTAGGTGACCTGATCCCATCTGATTTAATGTAAATAGGGGTGTGAAAGTGTTGAGAACCAAGATGCTTCAGAATACCTCCATGTTGTTGTTGACAGAATAACACTATGTCAATTTGGCCACGAGAGGGACAGCTACATCCAATCTTATTATGCAGGGTTAGACCCTTTAGTAACGGTTGTCTCTAAAGCTGTCTGCTGCAAGAAGTTGGATTTTAATGCCATATCAACAAAAAAAAAAAGTTGGACAAAGAGGTCATGAAAAAATGGTTTGAAATGGCATTAAACGTAAAATGATAGCATGTATCAGCTTTTCTGCAGATAAAACAAACATACCGGAGGAGGGCTTTATCTGAGCTGTTGTCAACCCCAGCATAAGATGTCATTTAAACTCTAACCAGGCTGGGAGCTGTGGATCAAGGCCCAGCTGTTGCACCATTAAAGACCTCAGAGACTCCCCTTCCAGCTGAAAGCGTCTAACACCAAGTCTGATACGCTGAACTAAGACAGGGGTGGTTGTGAAGTAAAGACCAGACTCATTCAGTAAGGTCATTGGATGTTGCCAGGCTGAAAAACCTCCCTCTGTTTAAACAGGATCCATAAAGAAGTTTTGTTTGCTTTATTTAAACAGTTCCCATGCAGTTGTACGGACCCACCCACAGTGTGCACCTCACTTCCACGTCTTTCCTAAACAACATGCTTCTATTATCCAGGGAGAGACTCCTTTCTGGCCCTAATCTCCACACTGACACCTCCTCCCTGCAGGAGCCAAAACACCAACATGAACCTGCCGCCCTAAAGGCAGAGGGAGTAGAACTGAAGCAGTGACCCATCGCCTGCGTGTGTTTTCCCCTCGTAACCCGGACATGTGTGGCTGATGCGTTCTCTGCAGGGTGCATGAGGGGGGGAGCTGGGAGACGGTGGATCTGTTGTGCTGGGAGCGTTCGTACGCCATCAGGGTAGGGAATGAGCAGCTGTCTTGTCTGAGCAATTCCACTTCCTCTCAAGCAACAAACTGAGTCTTGTGCTCGACAACAGCCATCCTTTCTATCAGGAGAAAGAAGGGA